CAACCATGCACCATGCTTATCTGTTTAAAATGTGTATCTGTTTTAAAAATTAATTACAATTAATTACAAATAGATTAATTAATATTTCTGCTTTTAAAATTGAGCCTGATACTATTAAAAAAAAAAAAAAAAAAACCCAGCTTAGATGGACCAGGACATCCCTGCTGTGGAGGAAGTCTATTTGAAAGAGGCTTTGCCATGCACGGCTGGGTGGGGCAGCTTTCACAAAACCTCCAAGCTCCTTTGCTGTGGCTGCATCCACATTTCCAGTGAATAGCATGGGTAGAATGGATTGCATTGATCCTCACTGGACACTGATGGGCTTAGCAGCAAGGCCATTATGCTCTTTGATGTTTGGAGGTGGAGGACCCCCAGGGGGTGATCTGTGGTCTTTGTTGGGTACTGACGCCTGCATTTGTGGACAGAGCGTTTCACAGATGTGCTCTACTCTGCAGGCTTGTCAGCAGCCTCTGCAAATTGCAAGCCACATCCAGGGCCACCTCCCTCAAGCTGCTAAGCCTTGAAAGGGAGTAGGACCTCAGCTGCCCAGACAGAGAGCAGAGTCTCTTTCTAAACCTGTGGCCAGCTGGGTGGGTGCCCCAAAGGAGCACTGAGGGTTCAGTGAGATGGGAGTTCAAGCTCTAGAATGTTCTCATTTGGTGCAACCAAGGGGCTGCCTCTTGGGGCAGTTGCCTCCTTCCTTTCCCTTAGATGTGGTGGGAAGAGCCCAACTTCGGGTGATGAGCCAGGGGAGGGGCACAGAGCCTTTCTGAGCCCCAGAATTGTGGCCTGAGAGACCCCAGTAATGTCAACTTACTCCGGGCAGGATCCTGGGAGTGTCACATGCGAGACTCTTAACAGGGGCTTAACTGAGACCACGTGCCCTGCTGGGTATCCTGGCTCTGTGAGAACAGTGACTGAGGTCCCCAGTGACAATGGCCTGCCACTCTCAACTGGTGGATGGTGGGAAGAGGCCTCACTGAAACCATCTACCGCATCCAGCATCTTTACTTCAGGACCTCTGAGCCACAGAGTGGGGGAGGGAAGGTCTGGGGAATACAGATAGCTTTAGAGCTTCTGCTTAGACAATAACGATCTCTCAGGGCTGGGGAACCCCGGGGCAGCCTGGGAGCCCAGAGGGCTCCACAGGAAGGCACCAAGAGAAGTTCTCTGGGTGATCTTAGCACAATCTTCCCTCCTTTCTCAAGTGCATGTAATGTGCTGTGCCCTGGTGAGGCCCTGGAGACTCAGCAACCAGCTGGGCACTGCCCTTCTGCAATCTGTTTAGTGGTTACCTTCTTTTAGCTCCCTGGACATTTTGACGTTGGGAGGGGTGTCACCAAATCGTAAATCATCCAACTGAGGTGAGTGATTTTTGTGCTAGACAGTGTGCCAGGCACTGCGGAACTGAGTAAATAAGGCCCCCTGCCTGGCCCCCTGTTCTGGGTGCACAGTTGACTGCATAAGAACATGCTCTGCAACAAAGGATCAAAACAAGCCCAGAGAAGAGACAGTCTCTAAGGGGACGACTGTGTGAGCTCAGCTCCTGGCTGGGCCTTGTGGAGGATACAGGAAATGAGCACATCTTTTGTGCCCTCTGTTGGTGTGGATCCAAGCCTTCTGGCTGCATAGAGTCACCATTAAATATTTATTTATTTGTTTTTTCTTTGAGAAAGGGTCTCACTCTGTTGCCCAGGCTGGAATGCAGTGGTGTGATCACAGCTTGCTGTAGCCTCGACCTCCTGGGCTCAAGCAATCTTCTCACCTTAGACTTCTGAGTAGCTGGGACGACAGGTGCACACCACCACTCCCCAGTAATGGTCCAAAATGTTTTGTAGAGACGAGGTCTCACAATGTTGCCCAGTCTGGTCTCCTGGGCTCAAGCAATTCTCCTGCCTCAGCCTCCCAAAGTGCTGGGAGCACTTTGGCCATCACACCTGGCCATCATTTAATATTTAAATAATTATCCCATGTAGATGAAGGAACCTGGACTTCTCCCTCACTCTGAAAGTTTCAGGGATTTTCAGAGACTTCCTTATTTCCTCAGCTTCCCTTGCACCAGTTCTGTGCTTTAACAATTACATTAGTTACCCCAATTACATTTTCTTTCTTTGTCTTGGTTTGGGTCCCCTAACACCCTGAGATGATAATTCAGTGCAAGTCTTCTGTTTGAAAAATTATCCCAGAAACACTGCAAGTGAAGTGGCTATGTTGTCTGGGGAACATACCCTGGGGTTTATTGTCACGTGCCAGGAAAATTTAGGACATGGATACACATGAGGAGTTTAGGAGAGAAGGTTTAATAGGTAGAAGAGAAGAGAAAGAGAAATAGCTTCCTCTGTAGAGGAAGGAGTGTCCCATTGGAAAGGACCAGTTAGTGGCAAATGAATGAAGTTTTATTGTTCAATTTTTGTAGGAGGTGGTGTCTGATTTATGTGGGGCTCACAGACTGGCTCAATTAGCTATGACGTTTACATAGTGTGCAGGGAAGGCTGGGTGCCCACCCTAATCTTCTTATGCAAATGGGCTTTCCAGTTGATGGGTGCCATCTTGTCTGCTCCTTATGACACGCATGGCTGGCAGAGAAGGGAAGATGGAGCCATCATTTTGAAACTGTCTAGTCCTTAGTTCCTGCCAGCATTCACTTGTGCAGGCTCCCAGCTTGCAGGCTGCTCTTGATTAGAAAATGATTCGGGGCTGCTTTTTATTAAAAAGAAAAGCCTTACTGAGGACTTCCATGCACTTGCTCTCTGCCTAAGCAGTTTCTTCCTAACTCCTGTATCATAAGAATGTGAGGAGGTGGGGAAGGAAAGGGGGTCACTGAGGGTGTGTTGTGAAGCCAGGTACCACTGTGGGCAGCTGGGCTCAGTCCACTGGGGGCTCTGAGAGATTACACAGAATGTGATGCAAAGTTGTCTCCACTGAGAGGCAGGGAAGCCTCCCCCACTTCCTCTGTCGCTGGCTGAGGGCTGATTCCAGGGCCTAAGGCAGGCCGACGTGGGAGGCCTCTAGAAACTGAAAAAGGAAGGTCCTCCCCTGAGGAGTTTGGAGGCCTCAGGGGGAGCGCCAATGGTGACAGCTATCTGCAGTGTCATGCAAAATGTGACATAGTATGAGTGAGGGTGGACAGCCTTGAGAACCAAGACGGACTCCTGCACCAGCCGTGGGTGCTGAAAAAGCTCGCTACAAAGAGGAGATAGCTGAGCTCCTTCTGAAAGTAAACTAGGGGTCAGCCAGGGGTGAAAGGCAGCCCTGGGAACCTGGACTCCAGAGAGAAGTAGCACAATGTATTAGGAAGACATAGGCAAGTCACTCGGCACTGGAGGCCTGGTGGGGGCTGAATTAGGAGGTGAGGCTCAGGGGGTCATCAGTGCCAAGTGTGAAGTACTGGGACAGCAGGAAGAGCAGGCTGCTTCAAGGAACAATGGGGCCAGGTGTGGGATCTTGGCATCTTCCTTACACCCAGCTGAGTTAGGGAGAAGGAAGGGGAAGGTGGGGTCACTCTTACTCTTGGATTCCCCCATCACATTCTGCTGGGCAGCTGGGCAGTGCCAGCCCAGGGCTCAGTGCTTTATGAATATTAACCCGCTTACTTCTCAGAACCACGTTACGGAGTAAGTGATATTATTTAATCCACTGTGCAGATGAGCAAACTGAAGCACAAGGAGATTAGATTACTGACGTTAACATTGTTGAATAGAGCTGTAGTAAGACCGAATAATGTCCCCCTCAAAGATGTCCATGTCCTACTTCTGGGAACCTCTGAATGTTTTCACATGACAAAGGGACTTTGCTGATGTGATTAATCTTGAGATGGAGGAATTATCCTAGATTATTTGAGTGAGCCCAATATAATCACAGTGGTCTCTGTAAGAGAAAGGCTGAAGTGGCAGCAGCCGGGGTCTAGGGGGCGGAATGTGATAACAGAAACAGTACTAGGAGTGATGCAGCCACAAGCCAAGAAATGCAGGCGCCTCTGGAAGCTGGAAGAAGCAAGGAACACATCCTCCCCTAGAGCCCCAGAAGGAGCCCAGTCCTGTTGACACCTTGATTATAGCCCCATAAGTCCATTTTGGACTTTCTGACCTTCAGAACTATAAGATAATCAATTTATGTTGTTTTAAGCTGCAAAGTTTGGGAAAAATCTCTTACAATAAGAAAGTAATACAACATATAATGGGTTCCATTCTACCCAGTAGATGGTGTGTGGGTTCCCTATGTGACACTGAGGTGGGAAGACAGATGTGTAAAGGACAGATTGATAGCAGAAGCAAGCGTGTAGGATGCCCTAAGTTATAAAGCCTCTGTTGTAATGGTCATGATCCATTACAATCTTTCGGAATTGCCACAGTCCCCACCTCCCTGCTGCTAACCTTCCCCAGTCCCTGGCATTGAGGCTTCCCCTGGTGAGGCCATGCTGTTCATCTGTGCCTTGAATGTTCAGCCCTCAAAGCTCATCTCACCGATGCCTGTACATGGAGACTGCTTTTCCCCGGGTTCAATTTCCTCAAATCATTCTTGTCTTTGGAGGTTAATGACAGCAGGGGGTTATTATACATCTTGGATAATAGGACTTGGTCTTTTGGGAACTGGACTGTTTATAGCATTTTTGAGCTTCTAAAAATCCTGTAGGGGAATATGGAAGTTTGTTCCTCTCCAGCTATGGGGTTGGCACACATCAGATTTTTAAGTCAGAGTTAGCCTAGAATGCTCCTAGGTGGGCATGAGGGGTGGGAGAAAGGAGAACATGTTGTTCCTGAGCATCCCTTTCTGCCAGGCGTGGCAGGGCCCTTCTCTTTTTAGTGCTTCCTGTCCGGATTGGCTAGCACATGCTGACCAGAGTGGGCCCAGAGCCAGAGTGTTCAGCTCCGAATTCAAACGTTGCCAGCTTCTAGCTGTTTAACCTAGGGCAACGTCTTATCTGTACTCCTCACTTTCCTCATCTATAACGTGAGAATAACAGCATAGGCCTTGTTGTGAGGATCACACAGATAATGCATTTTTAATATTATTTTTATTTTGTTTTATTTTATTTGAGAGAGGATCTTGCTCTGTTGCCTAGGCTGGAGTGCAGCGGCTTGATCATGGCTCACTGCAACTTTAAACTCCTGGGCTAAAGCGATCCTCCCACTTCAGCCTCCCTTGTAGCTGGGCCTACAGATGCACACCACCAAACCCTTCTAATTCTTTATAGTGATGGAGGGTTATCACTATGTTGTCCAGGCTGATCTCAAACTCCTGGGCTCAAGTGACCCTCCTGCCTGGGCCTCCCGAAACGCTGGGATTACAGGTGTGAACCACTGTGCCTGGCCCAATTTTAACATTCTTTGAATGGTCTCTGACATCTGGAGAATGTCAAATAGCTGCTAGTGGTTATGTTGATGATCTTCAATGTCATAGTTACAGCATGTTTACTTCTTATTCCGGGAAAGAGATTTATTCTCATCTCTATTTTGCAGGCGATAAAACTGAGCCTCACAGAGGTCAATTGCATGTCCAAAGCCACATGGAGAGTGGGTCAGAGTTGGATTTCAATACCAGAGCTCTTTTGGTACTGAGCAATTTCTGAAACTTCATTTTCCTCTGTACATCCAGGACACACAACACTTGGGCTGTCTCTTCCCAGTGATCCAACTCCCAGGCCCTTGGGCTTTGTCAGTTCAGATTCCCAGCGTGCTCAGAGGCTCTGTCCTTCCATAATGAGTTCTACCAGCTCCCTCCCAGCAGCCTCCAGGGCAGTGCAGGCCAATTGTCCTGTCAGGCTGGGTACTGAGCAGGGCATCTCAATTTGGGCAGCTACTCAGTGGTCAATCACAACCTAAAACAGAGACAGCAGGGTGGCCTTATGCCCGGTGATTTCTGGAAACCAGCCAGCCCTTTTCCCCAATAAGACACTCTATTTCTCAGCATGCAGTTTTCTACCAGACTTTTTATGCTAAGCCAGGCTGGTCCTAATTGTAATTGGTTCTGGCTAGTTCCTGCAAGAACCGTTAAATCTTTTATTTGCTCATTCTCTGGGGAAGTCCGCTCCCTTGGGGAACTAACTCTTACACCGTTGAGAAAAGGTGTCTCCCCTGACCCTTGCTAGAACATACTCTTTCACTCCTGTCCCACTCACCCAGCCATCAGCAGTGTCTTTAAATGAACATTATTTTTGATCTAGAAAAATCAGTGTGCCCTGATTCTTTTGATAGACCTTAAGCCTAGGGCTCTAGACATCTGCTTCTCTGTAAGGAGTATTTGCTGGCAAATCGACCTTCTATTCAATAAGGCCTAGCCAATAGAATCCCTGCCAAATGATCCTTGTGACTTCAACAGGTTTAATTGGAAGTTTATGGGGTCCAACATGCATCGTCACTAAGTTTAAATAGCACATTGATTTAGGATTTACCTCTTAGCTGGAGATGGTTTCTCATCAGTCGAGGATCCTAGTAACTGCACAGAGCTGGAGCTGTCTACGATCCCAAAACACTTGTCACAGCTGTGATCCTATTTGGTCCTGAGAGTAAGTCTTCAAAGTAGCAGTTATTATTATCTCTGTTTACCAGATGAGGAAATGGGGCTCAGAATGGAATTTGCCTCAGGCCACACAGTTATGACAGAGCCAGGATTTGAACCCGATGTCATTTGGATGCCAAACTTCTAGTTCTTTTACTGTGTCCATTTTCAATTGTCCCTTCATTTATTCCAAGCCTATTTATTGAGTGCTTACCAGACAATGATCTACGTCCCGGGAGCCCAGCAGCAATGAAATGGTTTCCACCCTGGGGGAGAAAAGCAATGAACAAACAATATTGGAAAGTGGTAATTGCTCTGCAGAGGATTAAAATAAGGTGAAGGTGGTGGAGGCGTAAACTGGGACAGCCTCTGTAAAGAGCAATTGGGCAATAGCTATCAAAATTTAAAATGTGTATCGACTTTGATTTGGCAGTTTGGCTCCTAGGTAATTTATCCTACAAACATGTTAGCACATATGCAAAGCAACGGATGTATGTACAAGGATATTTGCTGCCTCAATGAACAAGCAAATCAAAGGGGAAATAATGTAAATGTCCCTCAATAGAGAATACAGTATATGCCTACAATAGAGCTCTCTGGAACTATGAAAAAGAATAAGGCAATTTATAAATAGGTAGATGGATAGAAATACAACATGACATCTAAGATGTTATGTCAGGTCAAAAAAGCATCTTGTTAAACAGCATATCGAGTTTGCTTCCATTTAATTATGGGAAAAATCAAACAAAAGAATACGTATATATTATTAATCACCTAGACTACATGAGGAAAGACTGAGAAAGTAGGGGCAAGAGTTACCTCCAGGGACAATTGGGATGGCTGAAAAAAGGAGAAGGGAAAAGATGTTTGCTTTTTTCCCTCCTTGTATAATCTTTGGTATCTTTTGAATGTACATGTACTGCTTATTCCAGAACACACATTAAGTTTATTTATTGTTATTATTATTTCAATAATTTTTGGAAAACAGGTGGTGTTTGGTTACATGAGCAAGTCGTTCAGTGGCGATTTCTGAGATTTTGCTGCATCATCACCTGAGCAGTGTACATTGTACCCAATGTGTAGTCTTTTATTCCTTACTCCCCCTCCCAATCTTCTCCCCTGAGGGTACGGAGTTCATTATATCATTCTTATACCTTTGCATCCTCATAGCTTAGATCCCACTGATAAATGGGAACATATGATGTTTAGTTTTCCATTCCTGAGTTATTACACTTGATATAATGGTCTCCAACTCCATCCAGGTTGCTGTGAATGCCATCATGTTGTTCCTTTTCATGACTGAGTAGTATTCCATGGTATGTATATAACACATTTTCTTTATCTACTTGTTGATTGATGGGCATTTGGGCTGGTTCCACATTTTTGCCATTGTAAATTGTGCTGCCATAAACATGAATGTGCAAGCATCTTTTTCACATAATGACGTCTTTTCCTCTGGGTAATAGCCAGTAGTGGGATTTCTGATTCAAATGGCAGATCTACTTTTAGTTATTTCAGGAATCTTCACACTACTGTCCATAGTGGTTGTACTAGTTTAGAGTCCCACCAGCAGTGTAAAAGTGTTTCCTTTTCACCATATCCATGCCAATATCTACTATTTTTAAATTTTTTAAATATGGACATTCTTGGAGGAGTAAGATGGTATCACATTAGGGTTTTGATTTGCATTTTCCTGTTAATTAATGATGTTGAGCATTTTTTTCATATGTTTGTTGGCCATTTGTATATCTTCTTTTGAGAATTTTCTATTCACATCCTTAGCCCACTTTTTGATGGAATTATTTGTTTTTTTCTTGCTGATTTGTTTGAGTTCCTTTTAGATTCTGGATAGTAGTCCTTTGTCAGATGCATAGTTTGCAAAAATTTTCTACTACTCTATGAGTTGTCTGTTTACTCTGCTGATTATTTCTTTTGCTCTGCAGAAGCTTTTTAGCTTAATTAGGTCCCATCTATTCATCTTTGTTTTTGTTGCATTTGCTTTTTAGTTCTTTTTCATGAACTCTTTGCCTAAGCTAGTGTCTAGTGTTTTTTCTGATATTACCTCCTAGAATTTTTATGGCTTCAGGTCTTAGATTTAAGTCTTTGATCTATCTTGAGTTTATTTTTGTGTAAGGTGAGAGATGAAGATCCAGCTTCATTCTCCTATATGTGGCTGGCCAATTATCCAAGCAACATTTGTTGAATAGGGTGTTCTTTCCCCATTTTATGTATTTGTTTGCTTTGTCAATGATCAGTTGGCTTTAAGTATTTAAATTTATTTCTGGGTCCTATATTCTCTTCCATGGGTCTACATGCCTGTTTTTATACCAATATCATGCTATTTTGGTAGCTACAGCCTTGTAGTAAAGTTTGAGGTCAGGTAATGTGATGCCTCCAGATTTGTTCTTTTTGCTTAGTTTTTCTTTAGCTATGCAGGCTCTTTTTGGTTCCACATTAATTTCAGGATTGTTTTTTTCCAATTCTGTGAATAATGATGATGGTATTTTGATGAGAATTTCATTGAATTTATAGATTGCTTTTGGCAGTATGATCATTTTCACACATTGATTTTACCCATTCATGATCACGCAATGTGTTTCCATTTGTTTGGGTCACGTATGACTTCTTTCAGCAGTGTTTTGTAGTTTTGCTTGTAGAGATCTTTCACCTGTTTGGTTAGGTATATTCCTAAGTATTTTATTTTATTTTATTGCAGCTGTTGTAAGAGGGGTTAAGTTCTTTATTTGATTTTCTGCTTAGTTGCTGTTGGTGTATAGCATTTCTACTGATTTGTATACGTTGATTTTGTAACCTAAAACTTTACTGAATTCATTTATCAGATCCAGGAACTTTTTGGATGAGCCTTTAGGGTTTTTGAGATACACAATCATATCATTGGTGAACAGTGAGAGTTTTGCTTCCTCTTTACCAATTTAGATGCCATTTATTTCTTTCTCTTGTCTGATTGCTCTGGACAGGACTTCCAGTACTATTTTGAATAGAAGTGGTGAAAGTGAGCATCCTTATCTTGTTTTAGTCCTCAGGGAGAATGCTTTCAACTTTTCCCCATTCAGTATAATGTTGGCTGTGGGTCTGTCATAGATGTCATTTATTACCTTAAGGTATGTCCCTTCTATGCTGATTTTGCTAAAAGCTTTAATCGTAAAGTAATGCTGAATTTTGTCAAATGCTTTTTGTGTATCTGTTGAGATGATTATATAATTTTTGTTTTTAATTCTGTTTGTGTGGTATATCACATTTATTGACTTGTGTATGTCAAACCAACTCTGCATTCCTGGTCTGAATTCTACTTCATTATGGTGGATTATTTATTTTATATGCTGTTCAATTCAGTTAGCTAGTATTTTGTTGAGGATTTTTGCATCTATGTTCATCAGGGATGTTGATCTGTAATTTTCTCTTTTTGTTATGTCCTTTCCTGGTTTTGGTATTAGGGTGGTAATGCCTTCATAGAATAATTTAGGAAGGATTCCTCTTTCTCTATCTTTTAAAATAGTTTCAATAGAATTAATATCAATTCTTTTTTGAATGTCTGATAGTATTCAGCTGTGAATTCATCTGGTCCTGGACAGTTTTTATTGGCAATTTTTTAAATTAGTGTTTCAATCTTGCCATTTGTTATTGGTCTATTCAGAGTTTCTATTTCTTCTTGGTTTGATCTAAGAAGGTTGTGTATTTCCAGGAATTTATCAATTGTTTCTAGGTTTTATAGTTTGTGTGCATAACAGTGTTCATCATAGTTTTGAGTGATCTTTTGTATTTATGGGGTATTGGTGTAATATCTCCTGTTTCATTTCTAATTGAGTTTATTTGGATCTTCTCTCTTTTTTTCTTGGTTAATCTTGCTAATGGTCTATCAGTTTTGTTTATTTTATAAAGGAACCAGCTTTTTGTTTTATTTTTCTCTTGTATTTTTGCTGTTGTCGTTTGTTTCAATTTAATTTGGGTCTGTTCTGATCTTTGTTATTTCTTTTCTTCTCCTGGATTTGGGTTGTTTGGTTGAACAACAACAACAAAAATACTTTGTTTTTTCTTATTTCTCTAGTTCCTTGAGGTATGAGCTTAGATTTTCTATTTGTGCTCTTTCAGATTTTTTAGCATAGACATTTAATGCTCTGAACTTTCCTCTTAGTACTGCTTTTACTGTATCCCAGAGGTTTTGATAGGTTGTGTCACTACTGTTGTTCAATTCAAAGAATTTTTAAATTTCCATCTTTATTATGTTGTTGATCCAGAGATCATTCAGGAGGAGAATTTAATTTCCATGTGTTTGTATGGTTTTGAGGGTTCCCTTTGGAATTAATTTCCAGTTTTATTTCATTGTGGTCTGAGAGAGTACTTCATGTAATTTCAGATTTCTTATGTTTTTGAGCCTGTTTTGTGGCTTGTCATATGGTCTATTGTGGAGAATATTCCATTTGCTGATTGAAAGAATGTGTATTCTGCAGTTGTTAGGTAGAATGTTCTGTAAATAGCTGTTAAGTCCATTTTTTTCTGGAGTATAGTTTAGGTTCATTGTTTCTTTTTTAACTGTTGTTGCTTTAAAGTCTGTTTTACAATTGAATACACATTTTCCATACAATCCAGCAACCCTACTCCCAGGTTCATTCAGATGAAATGACAACCTGTGTTCATACAAACGTCTGTATGTGAGAGTTCATAGAGGTTTTATTCATAATCACCAAAAATTTCAAACTGTCCAAATGTCCTTCGACTGGATAATGGATAAACAAAATATGATACATTCATGCAGTTTAAAAAAAAAGTCTGTTTTGTCTAATACAAGAATATCTATTTTTGTTCACTTTACCATTTGCATGGAATATCTCTTTCCACCCCTTTACTTAAGTTTATGTGAGTCCTTATGTGTTAGGTGAGTCTCTTGAAGACAGCATATATTTGACTAGTGGATTTTTATCCGTTCTGTATCATTTAAGTGGAGCATTTAAGTCATTTACATTCAATGTTAGTATTGAGATGTGAGCTACTGTTCTATTCATCATGTTAGTTGTTGCCTAAAAACCTTTTTTTTTTTTTTTGTCGTGTTATTGCTTTATAGGCCCTGTAAGATTTATACTTTAAAGAGGTTCTATTTTGGTGTATTTTGAGGTGTTATTTCAAAATTTAGAACTCCTATTAGCATTTCCTGTAGTGCTGGCTTGGTAGTCACAAATTCTCTTGGCATTTCTTTGTCTGAAAAAGATGTTATTTCCTTCATTTATGAAGCTTAGTTTTACTGGATACAAA